CTGAACAGAGGGATGCTCCTTTATCCAAAGCTGCAACTCATTGGTGATGTAATACCCAAGGGAGTGCCCTTTCCCCTTCCAATCGCTGCTGTTCTCCAGCATGTCCAAGAGCCCTGCCAATGGGTCTTCCAGACCTGCAAAGCCCCGCCTGGTTTCTTCCTTGAGCTGCTGAGATACAAAAAACACATTGTCATGTACAAAAAGATTAGTGAATCCTCCCTTCTCCCAGCTGAACACAAAGATTTTTTTATTATTTAATCTATTCAGAGAGGTAACTGTTGCTATTCAACCACCATCGGCGCCTTCAGTGACTTTTCATGTCATTACAGATTCCTTCATGGCCCACTGCACCTCAAACCCAATGGGAAAAACAGCAATTGTCCACACTAATTATCCCATAAAGACAGAGTTGTTGTTCTGCAAGAGAGACAAAGAGGCTTAGGATATATATAAAAAAGTGTGTGTGTGTGTGTGTGTGTGTGTGTGTGTGTAAATCACAGAAGTGGAAATGGTGAAGACAGGAAGATTTATGAGCTCCGATATCTGCTTTTCCAGCATACCTGCACTTAAGGACATGGATGATGCTCAACTGCTTATTCCCGCACCATAACTTTCCAGATTTGTCCCCTAACCAAATCAACCACAAATATACCATACTCTACACTACCCTAGAAAATATGAGGACACTGAACTCCTTAGGGTTTCAAATAAAGGAATAAAACCTGTAATATCAGATTCCAAGAAACCTCAGACTGCCTTGTTGTAAAACAAATTTCCCTTTTTCCAAAGCTGTAAAGAATGGAAAGGTATTTGGTGTCGGCTACCCATTGCCATTTTAGAGTTGACAATGCATGTCATCAAAAACTTCGAACTTGGAAAAAAATCCATGCTGTAAATCTAAGGAATTCTGGAGTGATCTGTTTAGAAGGAAGAAGGAATTGAATGCTCGCTTTGTGAATGTTAATAGGCTACTTACTATCCATCTGGTAGAAGTGATAAATTAGCAGTACTGAGCAATATCTTTATAATGTTTACATTAGAGATAGTTTCCAAGGAGCTCAGAAGGTTGGCAGGGTGAAGAAGTGGCATCCTTCAGTACCCACACACAGGACCTTTCACCACATGGTACATGTACTGGCGTAAAGCGAGGGAAGAGCAGAGACAGAAGAGGAGAATTCACTAACAACAGCTGCTCGCTCTCTCTCTTTTTTCTGGCTAAGAAACAAATCCAAAAAGATGCTCATTCTTGCTTGCAGCCAGCATTAGTAATTTACTGTATGATGGTCCCAGTTGTAGCTTCCAATGGAAACCATATAAAAAGAGAGCAAAGAATGACATGGAAAACAAAGGAACATGTAAAAAAAATTTGCCAGTGGGTTTATTTTTTTAATCATTAGCCAGAATTCTCTGTATTCCCCTTTCATGTTGGGAAACCCTTGAAATTTATCACCAAAAATATAAATCTAAATTGATGCACAAACCAATAAATATTTCTTTTACTGGATTATCAATTTCAACAAGAACAAAGCTGTTGATTAACAAAGATTTGCATTTAGACAGGAATTTCCATCCCCCCTCCCTAAGTACTTTCCCCTTTGGCAAGAGATCATGATGTCAAACACAGGATTTTAACCTAGCTGCAAGATTCAGCTGAAGAAGAAGATGGGCTGTAGTGGAACAAACTTTTTTCTTCAACCACAAATATCTGACACAACAGCCAAAGGAAAACAAAACAAGTAGCCAAGTAAGCTGCACTGTGCATAAACGGTCTCTTTTTCCAAAGCCCCACTTCAGCTCATTTGAGTCTGAACAAGAGCATTCTCCATAAAGCTC